TATTACGTATTGCTATTATCAGTGGTAGTTAGCTGTATGGACGGTGGCTCATCAGTGGTAGTTAGCTGTAGGGACGGTGGTCATTATCAGTGGTAGTTAGCTGTAGGGAGGGTGGTAATTATCGTGGTAGTTAGCTGTAGGACGGTGGTCATCATCAGTAGTTAGCTGTAGGGACGGTGTCATTATCAGTGTAGTTAGTTGTAGGGACGGTGGTCATCATCAGTGGTAGTTGGCTGTGGACGGTGGTTACACAGTGGTAGTTAGCTGTGGGGTGGTTTTGTGGTGTTGTTGGGACGGTGGTCACATCAGTGGTAGTTAGCTGTGGGACGGTGGTCATCATCAGTGGTAGTTAGCTGTAGGGATGGTGAATATCAGTGGTGTTGTGGACGGTGGTTATTGTCAGTGTAGTTAGCTGTAGGACGGTGGTCATTATCAGTGGTAGTTAGCTGTAGGGACGGTGGTCATCATCAGTGGTAGTTAGCTGTAGGGACGGGGTGGTCATCATCAGTGGTAGTTAGCTGTGGGGACGGTGGTCATCATCAGTGGTAGTTAGCTGTAGGGACGGTGGAATAAATGATTAGCGATTAGTGAACAATAACCCAACTATGAAACTAACACCTCCATCGTTACAGGTGAAGTTATCCCCAGGGAAGGGTAAGGCCCAGGGATGAAGATCTTCACCGCTTCCATTCCTCACAGCTGGCTTAATGTCAGTCATCACAGGCTACACTCAGTCTGGATCAGCCGACGTTGTGTACTTGGTAACTGTCAAGGGGGCCCGGAAACCTAAGACCCATGGTGAGTTCTTATTGGTCGATGTTGTATAGAACGTACAATTGTATTATAGTTTTGTGGATCACCTGAACATTACCCCCACCATAGTTTCAGGTTAGGTTAAACTTGGTAAAGTTCAGTGAGCACTTTGAGGGTTAACTTACAGGTGAGCACTTGGGGTTAATCTACAGGTGAGCACTTTGGGGTTAATCTACAGGAGCACTTGGGGTTAATCACAGGTGAGCACCTGGGGGTTGATCTACAGGTGAGCACTTGGGGGTTAATCTTCAGGTGAGCAATTTGGGGTTAATCTCAGGTGAGCACTTGGGGTTAATCTAGGTGAGCACTTTGGGGTTAATCTACAGGTGAGCACTTGGGGTACTTCAGGTGAGCACTTGGGGTTAATCTTCAGGTGAGCACTTGGGGTAATTTCAGTGAGCACTTGGGGTTAATCTACAGGTGAGCACTTGGGGTTAATCTTCAGGTGAGCACTTGAGGGTTAATCTTCAGGTGAGTACTTGGGGTTAATTGTGAGCAATTTGGGGGTTATCTTCAGGTGAGCACTTGGGGGTTAATCTACAGGTGAGCACTTGGGGGTTAATCTGCAGGAGCACTTGGGGTTACTTCAGGTGAGCACTTTGGGGTTAATCTTCAGGTGAGCACTTGGGGGTTAATCTTCAGGTGAGCACTTGGGGGTTAATCTACAGGTAAGCACTTGGGGGTTAATCTTCAGGTGAGCACTTGTGTTTCTATAGAGTATTCAAAGGATTCTGGTTGATTCTATAGAGTTTTTAATGGATTCTGATTGACTTAGATAAGGGATTTAGACATGATTTCTGATTCCCTTTCTTCCAGTTCTCGTCTTTGCCGCCAAATTATGACAGCGTTTACCTCAAGTTGTCTCGGCGTGGAGCCCGCGTCTTGGCCCTCGGAAGGAAGGAGTTGGGGAGACGACGCAGAAGTAAGTCGCCTCGCTCTCCTCCTTGACCTACCCTTGGCTCTCCCTCCTCCTTGACCTACCCTGGCTCTCTCCCTCCTTGATCTACTCCCTGGCTCTCTCCTCCTTGACCTACCCCTGGCTCTCTCCTCTCCTCCTGGACCTACCCCTGCCTCCTCTCCTCCTTGACCTACCCCTGGCTCTCCCTCCTCCTGACCTACCCCTGGCTCTCTCTCCTCCCTTGACCTACCCTGGCTTACTCCTCTCCCCTCCTTGACCTACCCCTGGCTCTCCTCTCCTTGACCTACCCCTGGCTCTCTCCCTCCTTGACGTACCCCTGGCTCTCTCCTCTCCTCCTGACCTACCCCTGGCTTACTCCTCCTCCTTGACCTACCCCTGGCTCTCTCCTCTCCTCCTTGACCTACCCCTGGCTCTCCCTCCTCCTTGATGTACCCTGGCTCCCTCTCCCTCCTTGACCTACCCCTGGCTTACTCCTCTCCTCCTTGACCTACCCCTGGCTCTCTCCTCTCCTCCTTGACCTACCCCTGGCTTACCCTCTCCCCTGACCCACCCCTGGCTCCCTCCTCTCCTCCTTGACCTACCCCTGGCTCTCTCTCCTCCTCCTTGACCCACCCCTGGCTCTCTCTCCTCTCCTCCTTGATCTACCCTGCCTCCCTCTCCCTCTCCCTCCTTGACCTACCCCTGGCTCTCTCCTCTCCTCCTTGACCTACCCCTGGCTCTCTCCTCTCCTCCTTGACCTACCTCTGGCTCCTCCCGTCCACAGTGTCATCTACCGACAGTAACTTACAAACACTCGTTCTCCCGTAGGTGCGGGAGACGACGCCATGACAGCCTCGAATGTGACCTGACCTTTGCTGGATTCATGATCATATCTTGTCCACTGAAGAGAGATTCCAAAGAGGTCATCAAGGAGATTCTACAAAGTTCACATGCTGTAGGTAACACTAGGGGTTGTGTTAGTGATATAGAAAGAGAGTTAGTTCACATGCTGTACATAACACACACACACACGGGGAAATATAACATATGAAGGCTTGGGACTAGTTTAATTAACAGCCCAGGTGGTGAGAGAGCCATTTGTATGGGAACACACACACACACACACACACACACACACACACACACACACACACACACACACACACACACACACACACACACACACACACAGACAGACACACAAGACAGACAGGATAATAAATGTAAGATCTTAATATCTCTGTATGTCCCCAGGCTGTCATGATTACAGGAGATAACTCGCTGACAGCCTGCCACGTGCAAGGAATTAAGATTCACTCAGAAGAAAACGACTTTAATACTTCAGGTGAGTGATTATTGATTTATGCCGTTTCCTCGTTAAGGGGTCACTCTACAGGATGTGTCATAAGTCGTATACTGTTGGATAATTGTTTGTTCTGTACAGGGTGTGTCATAAGTCATACACCATAGGGTAATTGAGTGTATGTGTGTGTGTGTGTGTGTGTGTGTGTGTGTGTGTGTGTGTGTGTGTTAGTTACACCTACAGTAAGTACAAATAAGGAGGAGATGTACAGTACAGTATTTATATTATCAGAAAGTTATTGATTAAATTCTGCCATTTTTATATTCTTTGTCACACGACACACACACACACACACACACACACACACCACAGCACACACACACACACACACACACACACACACACACACACACACACACACACACACACACACACACACACACACATCACCATAATGTCTCCTCAGCACACTATACATTATTGACATCGTTTATTACTGTCTCCTCACACAGAACTACGGAGACGATACTTGGGCTGGGAGTATATCGAGAGCACCAAGATCTCCTGCCCTCGCCAACAGTCAAAGGAGGTGTTGGCGGATTTCTTCAGAACGCATGTACTTTTGCATCACAGGAGAGGTGAGTCTTGTCCTTCAGTAAAATAATGTTGTTTTGTTCTCTATAGCTGTCTTGTGTCACTTATGAGTAAGATACACACACACACACACACACACACACACACACACACCATGGGGAAATATAACAGATGAAGGCTTGGGACTAGTTTACTTAACAGCCCAGGTGGTGAGAGAGCCATCTGTACCGGAACACACACACACACACCCAACTCACTTACATATAAATAATAAACCATACATAGACTACACAAGCATCTTAAACCGACTCTAAACCACTAAATTACTATTCATAACTAAATAAACCAGTTACATACCATACAAGCTGCTGGGTTATAGGAGTAAGGGAAGGACTGGAGAAGAGAACGAGGTGGTTGTGGTATTAATTAGGGTCTTTATGGGTTATCTGAACATTAGCCTCCCTCCCCCAACCCAGAGTAGTTTCAGGGTGATTAACCTTGCGGGTGTGAGAGGGGTGGGGAGAATCTTCACGTGATCCACAAAGGCTAAAATCTCCAGTGAAATACGCCATTCGTGGTCTACTTACCTAATACCGGTGGAAAATATCGTTTCGTGTCAATATCCGTGAATATTTTATCTAATAATTCTATATGAATTTTTTCCCTTAGGGTCTTTCGTGGTTAAAAGTCACGCATCCGAAATTCTTCTGGAGTATCCTGCCCTACGTGAAGGTGTTCGAGACGCGTGGCTCCCAAACAAAAGGAGTTCGTGATCACGGCCTATAAGAGTCTTGGCTACACTGCCCTCATGTGTGGCGATGGGACAAATGACGTCGGCGCTTTAAAACACGCACAGTGCGGTGAGTTGTGGTGGCTGCTTGGGCCTACCTGATGATTAGACACCCCTAGTTTATTTTACCTGATTAGACACCCCTAGTTTATTTTACCTGATTAGACACCCTAGTTTATTTTACCTGATTAGACACCCCTAGTTTATTTTACCTGATTAGACACCTTAGTTTATTTTACCTGATTAGACACCTTAGTTTATTTTACCTGATTAGACACCCTTAGTTTATTTTACCTGATTAGACACCCCTAGTTTTATTTTTACCTGATTAGACACCTTCTAGTTTATTTTACCTGATTAGACACCCTTAGTTTATTTTACCTGATTAGACACCTCTAGTTTATTTTTACCTGGATAGACACTCTAGTTTATTTTACCTGATTAGACAACTTTTAGTTTATTTTACCTGATTAGACACCTCTAGTTTATTTTACCTGATTAGACACCCCTAGTTTATTTTACCTGATTAGACACCCTAGTTTATTTTACCTGATTAGACAATCTAGTTTATTTTCCTTGATTAGACACTCCTAGTTTATTTTTACCTGATTAGACACTCCTAGTTTATTTTACCTGATTAGACACCCCTAGTTTATTTTACCTGATTAGACACCTTTAGTTTATTTACCTGATTAGACACTCCTAGTTTATTTTACCTGATTAGACACCTTTAGTTTATTTTACCTGATTAGACACTCTAGTTTATTTTACCTGATTAGACACCTGTTTATTTTACCTGATTAGACACTCCTAGTTTATTTTACCTGATTAGACACTCCTAGTTTATTTTACCTGATTAGACACCTTTAGTTTATTTTTACCTGATTAGACACTCCTAGTTTATTTTACCTGATTAGACACCTTTAGTTTTATCTTTTACCTGATTAGACACTCTGGCTCTATTTTACCTGATTAGACACCCTAGTTTTATTTTGCCTGATTAGACACCTTTAGTTTATTTTTTACCTGATTAGACACCCCTAGCTTTATTTTACCTGGGATTAGACACCCCAGTTTATTTTACCTTGATTAGCAACCTTTAGTTTGCTTCATCGATTAGACACACTTTTTAGTTTATTTACCTGATTAGACAACTCTAGTTTATTTACCTGATTAGACACCTCCTAGTTTATTTTACCTGATTAGACACTTTTAGTTTATTTTACCTGATTTAGACACTTTTAGCTGGTTTTACCTGATTAGACACTCACTAGTTTATTTTAATTGATTAGACACTCTTAGTTTATTTTTGACCTGATTAGACACTTTAGTTTATTTTTTACCTGATTAGACACTTCCTAGTTTATTTACCTGGATTAGACACCTAGTTTATTTTACCTGATTAGACACTTAGTTTATTTTACCTGATTAGACACTCTAGCTTCTTATTTTACCTGGATTAGACACCTTTATTTATTTTACCTGATTAGACACTCTTAGTTTATTCTTTTACCTGATTAGACACCTTTAGTTTATTTTACCTGACTAGACAACCCCCAGCTTCCATTTTGTCTGACTAGACACCTTAGCCCATTCCAACTGACTTCAGACAACCTTTGGGCTTCCATTCAATCTGACTAGACACCTTAGCCCATCAACTGACCAGACACCCCAGCCCATCTTTAACTGACTACAACCCAGCCCATCTAACCTGACTGATCCCCTAGCCCATTTCAATCTGACTGCATCAACCCCAGCCCATCTACTGACTACAACCCAGCCCATCTTCAACTGATCAACCCCAGCCCATCTTTTAACTGACTGCACCCTTAGCTCTTATCTTTCACGATCACATCCCCAGCTCCATTCTTTCTGATCAGACACCTAGCCCATTTTCACCTGATCAGACAACTTAGCTCATCTTTTCACCTGATATTAGACACCTTTAGTTTATTTTTCCTGATTAGACACTTTTAGTTTATTTACCTGATTAGACACCTCTAGCTTTTTTTACCTGATTAGACACTCTCTTAGCTTATTTTACCTGATTAGACACTCTTCTTTAGTTTATTTCACCTGACTACACCTTAGCTTCATTTACCTGATTAGACACCCTTAGCTTCTATTTCTCTTACCTGATTAGACACCTTTTAGTTTATTTCCAATCTTTGATTAGACACCTCTAGCTTCATTCTTGACCAGATCAACCCCAGCTTCCATTCTTCACCTGACTGGGACAACTCTAGCCCATTCCACACCTGATCAGACACCCTTTAGCCTATTTCCACCTGATCAGACACCCTAGCTTCATTTCACCTGATTAGGACACCCCAGCTTCCATTCTTTTACCTGACTGTTAACACCCCAGCCTATTTTACCTGGATTAGACACCCTTTAGCTTCATTCTTAACCTGACTAGACACCTATTTATTTACCTGATTAATAATCTTTAGCTTATTTCCACCTGACTAGGACAACTCTAGCTCATTCTTTACCCTGATTAGACACCCCAGCCTCATCTTTTAATCTGACTAGACAACCCCTAGCCTATCTTCACCTGACTTCAGACACCCTAGCCCATCTTAAATCTCGATCACAACCCAGCCCATTCCACCTGATTGTGACACCTTAGCCCATTCAATCTGACTGGACAACTCCCAGCCTATTCCTACTGATCAGACAACCCCAGCCCATTTTCACCCGACTGACACCCCCAGCCCATTCACTTGACTGGTGACAACCTTAGCCCATTCTTAATCTGACTGCATCAACTCAGCCATTCAGACTGACCTTCAGTCCATTTAATCTGATTGACACCCTTAGCTTCATTTCCCCTGATTTTAGACACCCAGCCCATTCCAATCTGACTACACCCCTAGCCTTCTCTAATCTGACTGACAACCAGCCATACGACAACCCAGCCCATTCCACCTGATCAGACAACTCCGGCTCCATTCCCACCCTGACTGAGACAACTCCCAGCCCATTCCACCCGACCAGACACCCAGCTCCATTCTAACTGGACTGAGACCCCAGCCCATTCTACCTGATCAGACCCCCTAGCCCACTTTCAACTGATTCAGACAACCCTAGCCCACTTTAACTGACTGTCAACCCCAGCCCATTCCACCCTGACTGTGACCAACCTCAGCTCCATCTTTGACCCGACTCGCATCCTTAGCCCATCTTACCGACTAACCCCAGGCCCATTCACTGATCAGACCACCAGCCTATTTATTAGACACCTCAGTTTATTTACCTGATTAGACACCTTTTAGTTTATTTACCTGATTAGGCCACCTTTAGTTTATTTAATGGATTAGACACCCTAGTTTATTTTACTCTGATTTAGACACCCCTTTAGTTTATTTTACCTGATTAGACACACTTTCAGTTTATTTTACCTGATTAGACACCTTTAGTTTATTTACCTGATTAGACAATTACTAGTTTATTTTACCTGATTAGCTAATTTTAGCTTATTTTACCTGATTAGACACTCTCAGCTTATTTTACCTGATTAGACACCTTAGTTTGTTTAATTAGATTAGACACCTTTAGTTTATTTTACCTGATTAGACACTCTTTAGTTTATTTACCTGATTAGACACTTTTAGTTTATTTTTCTACTTGATTAGACACTTTTTAGTTTATTTTTACCTGATTAGACAATTTTAGTTTATTTTATTTGATTAGACACCTTTTTAGTTTATTTTACCTGATTTTGCACACCTTTAGTTTATTTTACCTGATTAGACACCTTCCTTAGTTTATTTACCTTATTTGTACACCTTGTTTATTTCTTCTACTGATTATTACCTTTTAAAGGCTTATTTTACCTGATTAGACACTCTTAGCTTTATTTTACCTGATTAGATACCTTTAGTTTATTTCAAATTTACTAGACACCTTTAGTACATTTATTTTACCTGGATTAGACACCTTAGTTTATTTTACCTGATTAGACACCTTAGTTTATTTTACCTGGATTAGACACCTTTAGTTTATTTTTACCTGATTAGACACCTTTTAGTTTATTTTACTTGATTAGACACACTTTAGTTTATTTTAATGACAGACACTTTTAGTTTATTTTACCTGATTAGACACTTTTTAGTTTATTTTTACCTGATTAGACACTCCTAGTTTATTTTACTCTGATTAGACACTCTTTAGTTTATTTACCTGATTAGACACCTTTAGTTTATTTTACCTGATTAGACACCTTTAGTTTATTTTACCAGATTAGACACCTTTTAGTTTATTTTACTCATGGATTAGACACTTTTTAGTTTATTTACCTGGATTAGACACTCTTTAGTTTATTTTACTCTGATTAGACACTCCCTAGTTTATTTTACCTGATTAGACACCTTTAGTTTATTTTACCTGATTAGACACCTTTAGTTTATTTTACCTGATTAGACACCTTTTAGTTTATTTACCTGATTAGACACCTTTTAGTTTATTTACCTGATTAGACACCTTTAGTTTATCTTTTACCTGGATTAGACACCCTAGTTTATTCTTTTTACCTGGATTAGACACCACTCAGCTTCCATTTTACCTGACACACCCTAGCTTCCATCTTAATCTGACTAGACAACCCTAGCCTATTCTTTTAACGGATTAGACAACTCCAGTCTATCTTTAATCTGACTAGGACACCACCAGCCTATTCTTTTACCCCTGACTAGACACCCCTAGCCCATTCTTTAATCTGACTAGACAACTCTAGCCTATTCTTTTAATCTGACTAGACAACTCTAGCCTATTCCCACCTGACTAGACTCTAGCCTATCTTTAATTCGACTAGACACCCTTAGCCTATCTTTACCTGATTAGACACCCTTTAGCTTTATTTCACCTGATCAGACAATTTCTAGTTTATTTACCTGATTAGACAATTTCAGTTTATTTTACCTGATTAGACACTCTTTTAGTTTATTTTTACTGATTAGACACCTTTTTAGTTTATTTTTAATGATTAGACACTCTTTTAGTTTATTTTTACCTGATTAGACACTCTTTAGTTTATTTTACCTGATTAGAGACACCTTAGTTTATTTTTACCTGATTAGACACCTTTTAGTTTATTTTTACCTGATTAGACACCTTTTAGTTTATTTACCTGGATTAGACACTCCCTAGTTTATTTTTACCTGATTAGACACCTTTAGTTTATTTACCTGATTAGACACCTTTTAGTTTATTTTACCTGATTAGACACTCTTTTAGTTTATTTTACCTGATTAGACACCTTTAGTTTATTTTACTCTGATTAGACACCCCTAGTTTATTTTAATTTTATTAGACACCTTTAGTTTATTTTTTACCTGATTAGACACCTTTTAGTTTATTTTACCTGATTAGACACCTTTTTAGTTTATTTTACCTGATTAGACACCTTTTTAGTTTATTTACCTGATTAGACACCTTTTTAGTTTATTTTTACCTGATTAGACACCTTAGTTTATTTTTACCTGATTAGACACTTCTTAGTTTATTTTACCTGATTAGACACCCTTAGTTTATTTTTATCTGATTAGACACTTTAGTTTATTTTACCTGATTAGACACTTTCTAGTTTATTTTACCTGATTAGACACACTTTTAGTTTATTTTACCTTGATTAGACACCCCTAGTTTATTTTTTACTCTGATTAGACACTCTTTTAGTTTATTTTACCTGATTAGACACTCTTTAGTTTATTTTTACCTGGGATTAGACACACCCTAGTTTATTTTAATTTGATTAGACACCCTTTAGTTTATTTTATCTGATTAGACACCCTTATTTATTTTACCTGATTAGACACCTCTAGCTTCTATTCTTTTACCTGATTAGACACTCCTTAGTTTATTCTTTTAATTGATTGTGACAACTCTAGCTTCATTTTACCCGATCAGGACACCTTTAGCCTATTCTTTTTTAATTCGATTGCATCAATCTTTTAGCCTATCTTTTAATTCCTGATCAGACAACCCCTAGCCTATTCCAATTCCTGATCAGACAACCTTAGCTCTATTTTGCATCCGATCAGACAACTCTTGTCTATCTTTTGCACCTGACTAGACAACTCTAGCTTATCTTTTACCCGACCACTTCAATCTTTAGCCTTCATTCCACCCGACCAGACAACCTTCAGCCTATTCTTGATCTTGATCAGACACTCTGTTTATTTTACCTGATTAGACACCTCATTTTTATTTTTTACCTGATTAGACACCTTTTAGTTTATTTTACCTGATTAGACACCTTAGTTTATTTTACCTGATTAGACACCCCTAGTTTATTTTACCTGATTACACCTCAGTTTATTTTATCTGATTAGACACCTAGTTTATTTTACCTGATTAGACACTCTCAGCTTATTTTTACCTGATTAGACACCTCAGTTTATTTTACCTGATTAGACACTCTAGTTTATTTACCTGATTAGACACCTTAGTTTATTTACCTTGATAAGACACCTTTTAGTTTATTTTACCTGATTAGACACCCCTAGTTTATTTTTAATTGATTAGACACTCTAGTTTATTTTACCTGATTAGACACCCTTTTAGCTTATTTTTACCTGATTAGACACCCCTAGTTTATTTCACCTGAAGATTTGACACCATATTGCTACCTATAAAAGGTTAGGTTAGGTAAGATTAAGTTGGGTTAGGTTAGGTTTCTGTCATCCAATCAGGCTTGTTGCTATAACCATATACACTAAAGTTTACTATTTTTCCCCCCAGGTGTGGCCATATTGTCGAATGCTCCCCACCGGCCGCCCCGAGAAGAAACGAGCGACGACCCGGCCAACAACATGTCCCTGGCCATGTCGGAGAAATTGGAAAGTGCGAAGAAATTGGCCAGAAGAGTCGAGAAACAGAAGGCTCAGACCCCTTCAGCAGGGCCCAACCAGCCAAGACTGACACCCCAACAGGTAGGTTTAGGGTGAGCTGGGTTAGGTTAGGCTAGTTAGAGTAGGTTAGGGTTAGGATTAGGTTGGGGAGGGGTGGGATTGGTTAGATTAGGGTGGGTGGGTTTAGTGTATTGCTAGATTAGGTGGGGTGGGTTAGGTGATTGGTTAGATTAGGGTGGGTGGGTTAGGTTAGGTGGGATTGGTTAGATTAGGTGTGTGGGTTAGGATTAGTTGGGATTGGTTAGATTAGGTGTGGGTTAGGTTAGGTTACATAAGGCTAAATTTGGTTAGGTTAGGTTATAAAGTGACATTAACCACATGTTAATATTTCCAGGAACAAATGGTTAAAGCACAAGCACAGCTACAGAAATTACTACAGGAATTAGAGGAGGAGAATAATCCTGTAGTGAAACTGGGCGACGCCTCTATTGCTGCTCCCTTCACCTCCAAGCTTTCCTCTATACAGTGTGGTGAGTGGTGGTACAGTGTGGTGGTCTTCTCTCTCTCTCTTACAGTGTCTCACAAAACCAAAAATACGAAGATTGAAAACTAAACTCAAACTACCTTACAGTGTGTCACAAAATAAATCAATACAAAAAAAGATTGAGAAATATAACTCTCTCTCTCCTCTCGCTCACTCTCTCGCTCACTCTCTCTTACAGTATGCCACATCATCAAGCAGGGGAGGTGTACGCTGGTCACGACTCTACAGATGTTTAAGATACTGGCCCTCAATGCTCTGATTCTCGCCTACTCCCAGTCAGTTCTCTACCTGGATGGCATCAAGTTCTCCGATTATCAGGCCACGCTCCAGGGTCTATTGCTAGCTGCCTGTTTTCTCTTTATTTCCAGATCGAAGGTAATGTAGTGTTTGTTAATTGTTGGTTTACTGTGATTGTTGGTTTACTCTCTGATTGTTGGTTTACACTCTGATTGTTGGTTTACTCTCTGATTGTTGGTTTACACGCTGACTGCAATGTCTCAATGTCTTAACCTAACCTATTGTACCCTGAACTAACCTAATTTATCAAATCTAACCAGACCCAACCCAACCCAACCTAACCCAACCTAACCTAAATTATTATGTTAAAAAGAACACTAAAATAGCTTCCATTATTACAGCCACTGAAGGTCCTTAGTAAAGAACGCCCGCTGCCCAATATATTCAATGTTTACACCGTGATGACAGTGTGTACAGTTTGCCGTTCACTTCACCTGCCTCGTCTTCCTCGTCAAGCAGGCCAACGAGTGGTCACCGCCTGTAAGCTAACCCGGCCAAATAAGTTAACCTGGCCAAATAAGTTCCGAGTTGTGTTCTTGTGTGATTCTGTACAGGGTGTGTCATAGGTCCCTTCTGTACTGGGTGTGTCATAGATCCCTTCTGTACAGGGTGTGTCATAGGTCCCTTCTGTACAGGGTGTGTCATAGGTCCCTTCTGTACTGGGTGTGTCACAGGTCCCTTCTGTACAGGGTGTGTCACAGGTCCCTTCTGTACAGGGTGTGTCATAGGGTCCCTTCTGTACAGGGTGTGTCACAGGTCCCTTCTGTACAGGGTGTGTCATAGGTCCCTTCTGTACTGGGTGTGTCATAGATCCCTTCTGTACAGGGTGTGTCATAGATCCCTTCTGTACAGGGTGTGTCATAGGTCCCTTCTGTACTGGGTGTGTCTCCCTTCTGTACAGGGTGTGTCACAGGTCCCTTCTGTACAGGGTGTGTCCTTCTGTACTGGTGTGTCCCTTCTGTACAGGGTGTGTCACCCTTCTCCCTTCTGTACAGGGTGTGTCATAGGTCCCTTCTGTACAGGGTGTGTCCCTTCTGTACAGGGTGTGTCATAGGTCCCTTCTGTACTGGGTGTGTCCCCTTCTGTACAGGGTGTGTCATAGATCCCTTCTGTACAGGGTGTGTCATAGATCTCTTCTGTACAGGGTGTGTCATAGGTCCCTTCTGTACTGGGTGTGTCATAGGTCCCTTCTGTACTGGGTGTGTCATAGATCCCTTCTGTACAGGGTGTGTCATAGATCCCTTCTGTACAGGTGTGTCATAGATCTCTTCTGTACAGGGTGTGTCATAGATCCCTTCTGTACAGGGTGTGTCATAGGTCCTATCTGTACAGGGTGTGTCATAGATCCCTTCTGTACAGGGTGTGTCATAGGTCCTATCTGTACAGGGTGTGTCATAGGTCCTATCTGTACAGGGTGTGTCATAGGTCCCTTCTGTACAGGGTGTGTCATAGGTCCCTTCTGTACAGGGTGTGTCATAGGTCCCTTCTGTACAGGGTGTGTCATAGGTCCCTGTACAGGGTGTGTCATAGGTCCTTCTGTACAGGGTGTGTCATAGGTCCCTTCTGTACAGGGTGTGTCATAGGTCCCTTCTGTACAGGGTGTGTCATAGGTCCCTTCTGTACAGGGTGTGTCATAGGTCCCTTCTGTACAGGGTGTGTCATAGGTCCCTTCTGTACAGGGTGTGTCATAGGTCCTATCTGTACAGGGTGTCATAGGTCATATACCATAATAAAACTGCCTCTACAGTACAGGGTGTTTCATAAGTCATAAACCCAAGTCCAATATTAATGCAACTCGTTCTAATTTTCAGAGAGAAGTTCGTCGACTTGGACAAGGAGTTTGAGCCCAGTTTATTGAACAGTACCGTCTATGTTATCTCTATGACGCTGCAAATTTCGACGTTTGCCATTAATTACCGGGTGAGTTTAATTCCTCTACTCTGGGGTTGATGGTGAGGTTAAGTCACGTCGCGTTGTACCCTTGTGACGGCCGAGAACTTGTGTACGTTGTTTTGAGGTTAGGTTAGGTTTGGGTTGGTTAAGTTAAGGTTAGGTTAGATTAGGTCAGGTCAGGTTAGGTTAAGTTTGATTTGATTAGGTTAGTTTTGGTTGAATTAGGTTACGATACGATAGCTTAGGCTACGTTGGATTAGGGTAGACTAGGTTTGGTTTGGTTAAGTTGGGTTAGATTAGGTTAAACTAGGTCACATATCGACCACAAATAATCCCTCTCTTCTCCCGCTATAAAACAGGGCCACCCATTCATGGAAAGCTTACTGGAAAACAAGGCTCTGCTCTACAGCTTGATGGGGTCAGGAGGGGTCGTGCTGGCTCTCTCTTTGGGGGTCATTCCAGAGTTCGCGGAGCAGTTTGAGATTGTGGATTTCCCGTCGGAGGTAACGTGGGCTCTCTCTCTCTCTCTCTCTCATATATCTGTACATTATCCGTCTGTCTGTCTATATATATGTTCTAGTCCCTGTTTGCATGTCTGTCTTAGCTATTTAATAATTCAGGTGAAATAATCTATGGGGTCTAATCATCAAGTGAAAAACATATGGGGGCTAAAGATGATTCACAATACGATGATTTCTAATACTTTTTCTCTCCCCCCGCCCACAGTACCGGTTCATGCTGGTTAAAGTCCTCGTTGCCGACTTCGCGCTCTCTCTCATCGTTGACCGGGTGTGCTTGTTCCTGTTCGGGGAAGGCAGACTCCCCACACAACTCAAGAGGTGCCCGGCGTAAGGGGAAGTTTCGTTCCATTTTCAGAGTTCGCCTGTTATCACGTGTGGGGGGGGGGGTAGCCGTCGGCCCAGCTCACCGGCGACTGTACCCAGAACGTCGACCCCGGGGTAACGAAGAACCCTGGGGGGGGGAGGGAGGATGCCAGATATACCACTGACGTCGACCCCAGAGTACATGGTGACTGTACCAAGAACGTCGACCACTGAGTACCGGGTGACTGTACCAAGAACGTCGACCACTGAGTACCGGGTGACTGTACCAAGACCGTCGACCCCAGAGTACCGAAGAACCCTAGAGGGGGGGGGGGTGGAGGGTGACGTCAGATTGGCCGCTCCGCCGCATCAAAAACTAGTGACTGTTATCCATGCCGGGTCCTCCCTCTTGACAGCTCGCCCCCTTACACACACAACCAACCCCTCATCCACACATTGTAAAGTAGAGAATGTTTTGGTAGTAAAAAAAAATATATATATACAAAACAATATATTCTGTGGTTTATTTAAATATTGTCTGTCTCTTATATTGAAAAGGTTTGGTTACAAGGAAGTAATTATTCATGGTTGGGGAAGGTGGAAAATCGAAAATGGATGACATTTGGCTTTAATTTGATATTATTTTGAAAAGCATATTGATTTATCTTAGTTGAAAAGGTTAAAAAAAAAGAAAAAATACAACAGGAATTTATGATATTGTTATTTGGAAAGCCCATTGAAATATCCTCATTGAAAACGGCCAAAAATTGAAAAGAATTCATTGATATTGTCTTATTTGGAAAAGACGCATTGAAATAAAGAAATATATTGGTTATTATTTGTATATATTACAGTATAGTATATATATATATCATGTGTAAAGCAACCTTTTAGTATTAAGATTAGTTTAATTCAAGTCCTTTTGTTAACTTAAGACTAGAGGAGGTGTGAAGTTAACAATGAATCTTTTGTTAGTAGATATTGAGACTTTTGCTGTGTGTGCGTTAATGTCTCTGTCTTTGTATGTGTGTGCGTTTCTGTCTCTGTTTGTGTGTGTTAATAATATGCATGTGTAGGTATACATTATATATTATTATTATTATTATTATTACAGTATGTATGTAAGTATGCATGGAGATATATTTATATATGTGTCTTAACCCCAAAACCAACATCGTAACCAATTTTGAATTCCCGTAAGGATTCCACCAATGAGAAAGGGGGCCCTGAGTTTGGCTGGGCCGAGATGTACGCTATCTTGCCTCTTGTGTGATACAGTATTGATATTTGTACACACACACACACACACACACACACACACACACACACACACAGAGAGAGAGAGAGACACACACTCACTTTACTGTACCCCTCTGAGACGACCCTACTAAGTCTCTGTCTCTCTCTCTCTCTCTTTCTCAAAATAACCAATATAATGTACATATTAGATTGTTATTTATTTAGAAAACTTTTATACCACTATTTAGATGCAGCCTCAGAGCTCCCAGTAGACCAACTCGGAGCAAAATATCAAAGTTGCTATAACTGGAATGACTTGAGGGATTGTACCAGGTTAATTGAGGGATTGTATCAGGTTAATGGAGGGATTGTATTGAGCTGTAGAGGCTTTGTAGTTCTCCAGTACTCACCTGAAGATTAGTTCTCCCAAGTGCTCACCTGTAGATTAGTTCTCCCGAGTACTCACCTGAAGATTAACCCCCAAGTACTCACCTGAAGATTAACCCCCAAGTGCTCACCTGAAGATTAACCTACCTTAACCTAACCTACCCTACCCTACCCTAACCTACCCTACCCTACCTTAACCTAACCTACCCTACCCTACCTTAACCTACCCTACCTTAACCTCCACCCCACCCTACCTTAACCTACCCTACCCCACTCCTTTAACCTACCCCACTCCTACTCCTACCTTAACCTACTCCCACCCTTCCCCATCCCCACCCTCTACCCTTAACTCACCCTACCCTGACCCTACCCCACCCTGCTCCTCTAACTCCACCCTACCCTCCCCACCCCTACCTTAACCCACCTCACCACCTACCTTAACCCACCCTACCTTAACCCACCCTTACCCCATACCTTAACCTACCCTACCTTAACCTACCCCACCCCACCCCCACCTTAACCTACTCCCACCCCACTCCCACCCTACTCCCACTCCCACTTACCTTACTCCCACTCCCTACCTTAACCTACTCCTACCCCACTCCCCACCTTAACTCCATCCTACTCCTTAACCTAACCTACTCCCTACTCCTACCCCACCTTAACCTACCCCTCCACCCACCCTACTCTAACTTACCCTACTCCACTCCCACCCTACCAATCTCTACCCATCTCTACCTCACCACCTTTAACTCCCTAACCTAACCTACCCTCCCTTCCTGACCTACCCTCTATTCTCTCCCACCCTACTCCTGGCCTTAACCTACTTACCCTACTCCCACCCTACCCTACCCTAATGTACAGTAGTCTTTGTTAATTTATTTCTCAACGTCTGAGCAAATATAATTCTCAGTGGGTGGTGGTGATGGTAGTGTGGTGGTGATGGTAGTGATGGTGGTGGTGATGGTAGTGGTGGTGATGGTAGTGATGGTAGTGTAGTGATGGTAGTGGTGGTGATGATGGTGATGGTAGTGGTGGGATGGTAGTATAGTAGGATGATAATGGTGTTAATAGTGGTTTTAATGGTGGTGATAATGGTTTTAATAGTGATAAATCAAACACCACACAATAAAGAGTTCCTCAACACGTGTTACTGGACTGTTTAGGAGAAAGTCCGTTATATCGAGGATCCGTTAGTTGTGAAACCTCTATTTAATGAGCTATAGAGAGGAAAGTGGTCTAGGGTCTGTTAACAGTGGTCTAGGGTCTGTTAACAGTGGTATGTCTACGGTGTGTTAACAGTGGTTCGGGTCTGTTAACAGTGGTCTAGTGTTAACAGTGGTCTAGGGTCTGTTACAGTGGTCAGGGTCTGTTAACAGTGGCTCAGTCTGTTAACAGTGGTCAGTGTGTTAACAGTGGTCTAGTGTGTGTTAACAGTGGTCTGGTGGCTGTAACAGTGGTCTAGGGTGTTAGTGTTTGTAGGCTGTTAACAGTGGTCAGGGTCTGTTAACAGTGGTCCAGTGTCTTTAGCAGGTCTAGGGTCTGTTAACAGTGGTTCAGGTCTGTTAACAGTGGTCTCGGGTCTGTTAACAGTGGTTCAGTCTGTTAACAGTGGTCTAGTGTGTTAACAGTGGTTCAGGGTCTGTTAACAGTGGTCAGTCTGTTACAGTGGTCTAGTGTGTTAACAGTGGTCTAGGTATGTTAACAGTGGTCTGGGTCTGTTAACAGTGGGTCTAGTTGTTAACAGTGGTCTAGGGTCTGTTAACAGTGGTCTAGTGTGCTAACAGTGGTCTAGGTCTAATAGTGGTCAGGGTCTGTTAACAGTGGTCTAGTGTGTTAACAGTGGTCTAGTGTGTTAACAGTGGTCTAGGGTCTGTTAACAGTGGTCTAGTCTGTTAACAGTGGTCTAGTGTGTTAACAGTGGTCTAGGTCTGTTAACAGTGGTCTAGGTCTGTTAACAGGTCTAGTGTGTTAACAGTGGTCTAGTGTGTTAACAGTGGTCTAGGTCTGTTAACAGTGGTCAGTGTGAGTTAACAGTGGTCTAGGTCTGTTAACAGTGGTCTAGTCGTAAAGTGGCAGTCTGTTCAGTGGTCTAGTGTGTTACAGTTCAGGGTCTCTTAACAGTGGTCTAGGGTCTGTTAACAGTGGTCTAGTCTGTTAACAGTGGTCTAGTCTGTTAACAGTTGTCCAGTGTGCTACAGTGGTCTGTGGTCGTTAACAGTGGTCTAGGGTCTGTACAGTGGTTCAGTGTGTTAACAGTGGTCAGTGTGTTAACAGTGGTCTAGGGTCTGTTAACAGTGGTCTAGGGTCTGTTAAGGTGGTCTAGGGTCTGTTAACAGTGGTTTAGGTCTGTTAACAGGTCCAGTGTGTTAACAGTGGTCTAGGTCTGTTAACGTGGTCTAGGGTGTGTTAACAGGGGTTCAGGTCTGTTAACAGTGGTCTAGTCTGTTAACAGTGGTCTAGTCTGTTAACAGTGGTCTAGTCTGTTAACAGTGGTCTAGGGTCTGTTAACAGTGGTCTAGGCTGTTAACAGTGGTCTAGGTCTGTTAACAGGGTCTAGTGCTACAGTGGTCTAGGGTCTGTTAACAGTGGTCTAGGGTCTGTTAACAGTGGTCTAGTGTGTCATGGTCTAGGTCTGTTAACAGTGGTCAGGGTCTGTTAACTGGTCTAGGGTCTGTTAACAGTGGTCTAGGGCCTGTTAACAGTGGTCTAGTCTGTTAATGCCAGTGTGTTAACAGTGGTCTAGGGTCTGTTAACAGTGGTCTAGGGTCTGTTAACAGTGGTCTAGTGTGTTAACAGTGGTCCAGTGTCTGTTAACAGGTCTAGGTCTGTTAACAGTGGTCTAGGGTCTGTTAACAGTGGTCTAGGGTCTGTTAACAGTGGTCTAGGGTCTGTTAATGAGGGTCTAGGTCTGTTAACAGTGGTCTAGGGTCTGTTAGCAGTGGTCTAGTGTGTTAACAGTGGTCTAGTGTGTTAACAGTGGTCTAGGGTCTGTTAACAGTGGTCTAGGGTCTGTTAACAGTGGTCTAGGGTCTGTTAACAGTGGTCTAGTCTGTTAACAGTGGTCTAGTGTGTTAACAGTGGTCTAGGTCTGTTAACAGTGGTCTAGGGTCTGTTAACAGTGGTCTAGTGTTAACAGTGGTCTAGTCTGTTAACAGTGGTCTAGGGTGTGCTAACAGTGGTCTAGTGTTAACAGTGGTTCAGGTCTGTTAACAGTGGTCTAGTGTTAACAGTGGTCTAGTGTGTTAACAGTGGTCTAGGTCTGTTAACAGAGGTCTAGTGTGTTAACAGTGGTCTAGGTCTGTAAGCAGTGTGTGTTAAGTGGTCTGTGTTAACAGGTCTAGGGTTGTTAACAGTGGTCTAGCGTGTTAACAGTGTCTGTCTGTTAACAGTGGTCTAGGTCTGTTAACAGGTTCAGTGTGTTAACAGGTTCAGGGTCTGTTGGCAGTGGTCTAGGGTCTGTTAACAGTGGTCTAGGGTCTGTTAACAGTGGCTTAGTCTGTTAACAGTGGTCTAGGGTGTTAACAGTAGGCCTGGTTTGAACAGTGGTCTAGTGTGTTAACAGTGGTCTAGGGCCTGTTAACAGTGGTCTAGTGTGTTAACAGTGGTCTAGGGTCTGTTAACAGTGGTCTAGTGTGTTAACAGTGGTCTAGGGTCTTATCAGTGGTCTAGTGTGGTTAACAGGTCTAGTGTGTTAACAGTGGTCTAGTGTGTTAACAGGTCTAGTGTGTTAACAGTGGTTTAGGGTCTGTTAACAGTGGTCTAGGTCTGTTAACAGTGGTCTAGTGTGTTAGGGAGGTCTGTTAACAGTGGTCTAGGGTCTGTTAACAGGTCTAGTGTGTTAACAGTGGTCTAGGTGTGTTAACAGTGGTCTAGGTCTGTTAACAG